CTGCCATTGTTTTATCCCATTCCTCAACTGTTCCAGAACCCCTTACTCCTTTCAGTGTGCTGGGTAGTTTGACTTGTCAGATAAAGCAAGGGGAAGTCTGAAAATTATACTTGCTTATTCCAATGCTCCACACACTAGCTCCCCTGTCTGCATGGTCAGCAGCCTGTTCCTGAAACCAATCTGAGATGTGATGAGTAGGTAGTGGAAGAAGGGGAGAGATGCCTTAAGTATCCAGATGTGAATTCCAAATCCCCCACCCCCAGCTTTAGCACCTCTGAGGATTCCTCATGTAGGAATTACCTCCCAAGCCCAGGAAACAGCTGAACAGTGGTAAATATATCAGATTAGAGAAAATGCATGGCAAGCTGCAATTCTTATATATTGCAAGTGATAAAACGGTAATTGTTTGTTGACAGTGTACATTAGCTATTCACAGCTAGTGTCAATAAATAGCACAAGAAGCTAAGGTCTAGGAATCTGTAATATTAGGGCCAAAGTACCATGGAATTATGGATGGGAATACAGCTTCATGGGAGAAATCCATTCCCAGAGTTGGTGTTGAAGAAGGCTCTTCCCAGTTGGAGTCTAGGTATGGCACCCCACCCCCTACCCCAGACCATCTGGGAGATCAGAGCCAGGTAGAGAGGCTGGTCCCATTAGGGACACATTTTTCTATCTTATGGTAAAGGGTTTAGTGAGGTGCCACAACCTCAGTGGAAGACATACAGATTTGGGAGTGAAGGAAGGGAGTACTTTGGTAAATCAACAAGAAACCACAGGACAGGTGAGTAGTGACCTGAGCTCTGCGTTGAAGTTCTGGTGGTCAGTCAATGCTGTGGATAGGAAAGGACAGGGAACAGTGTGAGAGGCCTAGCAATAGCCAACTTTGAGCTCAAAGCCCAGTCCACAGAGACTGACTTCAGGTCAGGTCTAATGAAGGGTACTGTTCAGTAACTTTTAATTTTGACATAATTATAGATTCACAGGAAATTGCAAAGATAGTATAGAAAGGTCCTGTCTGTCTACTGTTCACTGTCTCCTTTGCTGGTTTCATTTCAACCTAACTATAGCACAACCTGAAAACCAGGATGTGGACACAGTGTGTGTGTAATGTCTGTGTATGTGTGTGTGAGAATGTGTGAGTGTGTCTGTCTTTCTCTGTGTGTGTATATGTCTGTGTGTGTGTGCACACCTACTTCTGTGTCATTTTATCACATGTAGACTTACTGCAATTGGGATTACAGAGCTGTTCTTCACCACAGGCACTAGCCTTGGTGAGCCTCCCTCATTAAACTGCCACCCACTTCTTATTTAACCCCTGGCAACCATGAAGCCATTTTCCACTTTACTATTCTGTCATTTCAAGGATGTTATATCTTCAGAAACTAGTTTCTTCCCCCCTTTCAGCCTAATGCTCTTGTCATGTACCCAAGTTGTTGCATACTCTCCATCCATCTATCACTCATTCCTTCCCATGGCTGAGTAACATTCCATGGTGTTGAGCTGTGGGCTTATTTGTTTGTTCTTTTCATCATCCACCTGTTGTAGGACATTTGTATTGTTTCTGGATTTGGGCTAGATTTTGGCATAGTTCTAAGTTTTTGTATATGTAGGATATTTTTGAGTGTGTATGAGTGTAATAATTGCTGAGCTGTAGAATTATTGTATGTGATCTAAAAAAAAAAAGAAATGACAAAGCTGTTTTCAGAGTGACTCTATGGCTTTTACATTCTTCCCAATGGGTTTTGAGAGGGCCAGTTGTTTTACACCATCAGCAATGGTTGATCATGTCACTATTTTATTGTAGCTGCTCAAATGTAGATGACATAATACCCCACAGTATTCTTCATCTTGCATTTCCGTAGTGACTGTTTATAGTAGGCATCTCTTCCTGAGAAACATTTATTTCTGTTCTTAGTTCCTGAAATGTGGGTTTTTCCCTCCTCTGGGCATGGATGGGTACTTTTGTTGTGTCAACTTGATACTTTTAACACTTTTTAAAACAGTCAGTAAAATTAGTTGATTTTCAAGTATTGAACCAGCCTTGCATTCTTAAACTGAACTCCATTTGGTCCTGATATATAGTTACTTTTTATATGTTGCAGGATTCTCTTGGTTCAGGATCTTTGTGTTTATGTTCATGTGTGATGCTGATCTTCGTTTTCTTTGTTTGCACTATCTGGCTTAGATATCTGGGTGTTTTGGCCCTCGTGATACTATTTTAGGAGCATTTTTTTCAAGAGCTTGTGTTAAGGTTAATGGGTGTTAATTCTTTATACATTTGGTAGAATTTTTTACTAAAACTTTCTGGCTATGGATATTTTTCTTTTTGAAAACATCTACTTTAATTAGCATATATTAATGGTACAAGGGGATTTTATGGCACTAATTCCATAGAAATATTCAGTGTATTTGGAACAAATTTACCCTTCCTCTATTGTATAATTTCTGAAACCTCCTCTTTTCTCCTCTTCCAGTTTACACTTTTTATCTTTTTTTTCAGTTTCTTTTGTCATTCATACACACTTAATTTCCATGTAGTTAAATCAGTCAGTATTTAAGTCTCCTGGGGTATCTTGCTGTATCCATTCTTACTTGATACATTTCAAAAGATAGAAACCTAAGTCAAACTAGCTTGGGAACAAACAGAAGAAAAAAAAAAAGAAAGAAAAAAATCAAGAACATTAGCTCATGGAATTGGGATTTGAAGAGAGACATTGCTGTGCGTGGCTGGATCAAAGATCTCAGAAATCTATCATCCCTGTTCCACTGCTCAGCTTTTGTTTATATCTATGTTGATATCTTGTGTTCTAAGGTAGATAGGCACTTTGTGGCGATAAGGAGATTGTTGTTGTTCCAAGTCTACACTTTAATGATTAAATTCCCCAAATGACTTTCAGAATCCCATCCCATCCCATGGGAGGACACAGAATCACCCTGCTTGGTCTATGTGTCCTCTTCCCTCTTCTCATACCATAAAAAGGAGGGATAGTATTCTCTGAGCTATCATTTACCTCCTTTGTGGCTAATGGGCAGGTAGGGACTTACCAGAACTGTGTCATGGACAGATCCCTAGAAGAATGGTGGGCAGATAGGAGCAAAAGAAGTCCTTGGAACAGGTCACCTTTAGGAAAGCTTTCCCTATAGAATCTGGCTATACGACTCCTGGACATGTGTCCAAAGGAATGTAAGCAGATTTTCAGTCATGCATGCCAATGTTTAAAGTAGCACTATTGACAATAGCCAAAGTATGGAATTGACCTTGGTGTTCATCACCATGAATGGATTAAGACAATGTGATGTTTATATCTATAGCTATCTCTCTCTCTCTCTCTCTCTCTCTATATATATATATATACACACATACACACACACATATGCAATGGCGTATAATTATTCAATCATAAAGATCTTCCTACCTCAGCCTCCTGAGTGTGGAATTATAGATATGTAACACAAGCCTGGCCAGTGTTGTATCTTTAACCCTAAAAGAACCTAGGGAAATGACTGAGTCTAAAAGTATAGCATGTTAGACTTCACAATCCCTGTTTTTGTTTCTCATATAAATTCCAGAAGGAAACACAAACATTTTAATTTTAAAAGCATGAACAGCACGATCCTGTGTGTATGAAATTATTTCATTGAGTATGATTCCATGCATCGATCCTTCTGCCTCACCTTGTATATCAACTGCCAGGAGCTATTATTTCTGGATTATGTTGCATTATTCACATTGCTCTTTTTAAGCTAGTAAATGTTTATTACTTTTTAAAAAACCTGCAAACATTCTTTGCACAGAATAAATTCTGTGGTTAGAAGCATGCACATTTTGCTTCTCAGAGTTGGATAAATTTTCCTCAGTCTGTGAACAAATACTGCCTTGTGGTAGCTAGCAATTGTAAATGCATGGTGAATTCTACCCAGAGCCTCAAAGGACCTCAGCCAGAAAGGGAGAGGACAGGAGAAGAAACCAGAAGAGGAGAAAAGAGAAGAGACACAAACATACCAGACAGGCCTGCAGCTCAGGGAAGGCCCACGTCGTTGGGGAGTCATCCCTTCATATTTCTGTGTCAGAAGGCTGCTGGTGTCTGTCTCCTCTGAGTGTCATATTGCCTTTGAACCTCCAGCCTGTGATGCGGCCATTTTGGCTTTGTTTCTGTTCCTCCCTGTGTTAGTCAGCTTGCCATTATTATCACAAAACACCTGAGCTAATAACTTAAAGAGAGTAAAGGTTTATTTTGGGCTCACAGTTTTGTACATTTCAGTCTGAAATCTATTGTTGTGATGTGTGTGTGTGTGTGTTTGCGTACGCGCATGCATGCATGTGCTCTTGAACTCAGGACCTTGTGTTCTCTCCTGGTTTTTTTCTTCAAGGCTGGCTCTGTACCATTCAATCCATATCTTTGCTTCTGGCTTCTTGGTGGTTGATTGGAGATGAGTCTCTAGGATTTGTTTGCTGGGACTCAATCTCAGACTCCTGAGTAGCTAGGACTACAGGTGTGAGCTATTGATTATAGGCAATTACTTGTTGCCATGGCTTTGGAGCTCGTGGTGGGGCAGCACACCATGACTGGAAGTGCATGGTGTAGCAAGCTGCTCCAGTTGTAGCAAGCTGCTCCCAATGTGGAAGCCAGAAAGCAAAATGAGAGAGAGTGGGGGATAGGGTAGAAGTAAGGGAGGCACAGTGCTGCCTAGCTCGTGTGAGGCCCTGACTTTGATACCATGTATCATAAAGAACAAGAGAGAGGCTAGATTCGCAATGCCTATTCCAAGTGCCTCGCCAATAATATCAACTTCCTTCTACAAAGCTACACACTTACAGGTTCCACTGCCTCCTAATGGCATCAAGGTGAGGGTCAAACCCTTAACACAAGAGCTTTTGGGGCGATATCCAAATGGTAACATTCCTTGTTCATAAATCAGCACTGCCCATCCAGTAGATGCTCAGTAAGTGGGTAACGGATGTGCAGTTTCCTGATGGGTGCCTCTTTCTGTTTCAGGCTCACTGGCTTTCAGCTGCCGGCCACCATTGTCAGTGCTGCCACCACTCTGTCCCTGCGCCTCATCAGCGACTACGCAGTCAGCGCCCAGGGCTTTCACGCCAGCTATGAAGGTAGGTGCCTCTCTCCTTAGCCACTTTGGCCTGTGATGTGTCACCACCACAGGCAGGGTTCTGCAGACTCTTAAGCTTGTACCTGTCCCTAACAAAGCTGCTTAGGAGCCAAAAACTCAGTACAGAGATGTCCTGGCAGCCTTCCCACAAACAGAGAATTAAAAGGGGGAGCCCAGGATCTCCCAGGAACATCTGCTTCCCTCTCCTTTACTGGGCTTCATTGTGTTTTATTTTTCAAATTCTGTTTTATATTGGACTTCATTTGTATGAGGTACCTCAGGTTGTTTGTGAAAATAAGCAGGGAGATATAAGGTTAAACTCAAAGAAATAAAAGTGGTGGCCAAAACTCCAATAAATATGGAGACTTCAGAGAGTCAGTTTTAGATCATTTAGAGGAAGACCAGACAGTTTTTCCTTAATAGCATGGATTAAGGTTCTTTTGGTTTGAACTAGGCAGCTAATTTCCGCTTCCCTCAGTCTGTTTAAATATGGTGCTGGAATTCAAATGAACACTAATATCTTTAGATTATACACTCCTATTATTATTAACTTTATTAAGTTAGTTCAGAAGGTGGTACTTCTAGATCTCTGTCATTTCCCTGGGAGAAATTTACATCTCATTAATAGGTAATTATGCTGCTCTTGGCTAAGACCTACACTGCTATTTTGTGTTGAGATTGTTAATAGGCATATTTTAAGACTGTTAATGATAATTAATAACAGTAATGACATAACACCCTGGTGGAGCCATGCCAATTAAATGAAAGCATTCTTTCCTATGCCTTTGTTTGAGAACTTAAAAGAGTAAGTGATGTTTTCGTTAATGATGCTGTAGCAACAGAGAAATAGACACTCCCCGTGTCTTGGCCAGGAGAATCTCACACAGATAAGTAAATCTACCTTTTTTTTTTTTCCATCCTGGGACTTGAACTCAGAGCCTTGTACTTGCTCAACTGACCCTACATCACTTGAGCCACACTTCCAGTCTGGCATTTTGATGGTTCTTTTGGAGAAAGAATCTTGTGACTGTTCTGTCTGAACTGGCTTCAAACTGTGATCTTCTAGATCTTAGACCTCTTAAGCAGCTAGGATTATAGGCATGAATCACTGGTTGTCTGACTGTTTTCCACTATTTTTTTAAACCTAAGATTCCTTTACCTGAAGCCTCCTGACAAAATCCTTTTGCATTCCAAATGAGGATTCCTGAATTGGCCTGACTTTGTTTGGTAAAATGATCTGCCAGTCCCAAGACCAAGTATGTAACCCTGGTCATCCTGGATAAATGTCCCCAAGTTGGAACTACAGGCCTCTTCAGAAGCTTCTTCAAATTTCTACTGGATATAGATAGCTCTGAGGACATAGTGGGCATCAAGTCAGCAACTCTAGAAAAGGTACCTTCAGAGACCCTGGGAGTGATGGATATAAGGCATACCAGCTGGGCCCTGGATCCTTGTAGTACCTCATTAAGCCCTTGCAAATCTTTATCTGAGGCCCAGACTCTCATGAGATATCAGGAAACCACCTGTGCCATTCATCCAGGCTATACTGCTCCAGCCTATAGGTCAACAATGCCAGGCCCTTCCACCCAGAGCAGACATGGCAGCATATTCAGCCTCCTTTTGGATACAGGTTCTACCTGTAATTGGTGATCAAGCTCTCTGGGCATCTGCAGGTCAGTTAGCTTCCCAATTAGAGACAAAATTCCCAGAGTCTGTGTATCTTGTCATACAGAGAAGGGGGAGGCCAGCAAACTTGGGTCCCCTGGCCAGATCTCGCCAGTAGCTTGTTGTTGTAAATAAAGTTTTATTGAAGCACAGTCATTGTCAGTTGGCTTATATGGAGTCCATGGGAATTGCACTCAGAGTTGACAATGTGGCCTGCAAATTTGATATGTATCTACCTTCTAGCCTCTTACTGAGCCTTGATCTATACCTTTCTTCCCAGTACAATAGTCATTAAGCCATTAGCCCCGAAGGACTGCCTGCATTTAAATTAATTAGAATGAAATAAAATTTAAAGCCAGATTTTATTTTTGTCACACCAGAGTCTCAACAGGTGTTTGATGGCCTCATGTGGCTCAGGGAGACTGTGTTGGCCAGCAGATGTCCATCCCTGCAGAAGATGTGTGGGAGGGAACTGAGCTAGAAGCTTCCATCAGAGTCACACTGGGGTCTGTGGGGGTAAAAGTGTCACAAATGTTAGAGGTAAATGTTAGTGGATCTCACTTCTCACCTGCTTGGCCCAAGTGGGGCAGTCCAGACCTGAGAACACCCAGCATTCCACTCCAGGTCCCACACATATAACTAGGTTAAGTATCTAAGTCATGACCCCAGCAAGCCTTGCAGAAGAGGTCCTGCAAACCCTGGACCAGCACAGACCCATGGCTGCAACTGTGAGTTTCTCTACAGTCATGTGAGCACAACTTCTGCACACCTAGCCATCCTTGTATGGCATGATAGCATATCACAGATGTTTGTACATACAGGAGAATCAGCCACACATAAGCCAAGGCTGTGGCTACTACCAAATCCTGTTAGACAATGAGGAAATTCACATCTGGGAAAGTATGAGTCCTACCCATTTCTGGACCACCTTGAAGTGGAGGAAAGAAGGAAGGGAGGGAAGAAGGGAGAAGGAACTAGGGAAGGAAGGAAGGAAGAAAGAAAAAAAGAAGGGAGGGAGGAAGGGAGGGAGGGAGAGAAGGAAGGAAGGAAGGAAGGAAGGAAGGAAGATAGGGTCTGCTGTGAATATATCCAGAGGATGTATCCCCAGCACAGAGCCTTTGAACAACAGATCAAGTCACTGCAACTTTGAGGCTGGATTGATTGGTACATAGGAGTTTCTAGGGCCTGTAAATGACTTGGCTTCAGGGAGGAAGGCCAGCCACTGCGTCCACTGTGGAGCAGGCAGACAGAAAGACAGACAGGATTTAGAGAAGACCCTCCCTGCCAGCTACCTTGTGTAGTCTTATTTTCTATGTCACCAGCTCTGTTTCAAAATGGTATCAGGGCACAGCTCTTGGTTGTTCTCATTGGCTGGCATCCCTGAATGTCTGCCATCAAAGTGAGCTTGATCCTTCTCCACCTTCATCCAGAATGTGAAAAGTGCAGATAAGGAACTGAACTGAATGGCTGTAAGGACTTAGGAAAAGGTGAAAGCAGGCAAAGAGTGTCAGCTCAGGGCTGCTTCTTAAGGAAAGATCAAAAGGCCAGTTGTCAAACCCTGAGATGCAAGAAGATGCTGGGTTTGTAATCCCCGGGGGCTCTGAGTGAGTGTGGGCTGCAGCTGCTGGACCAGAGGGAAGGGGATCAACTTATATTAAGCACTGAGTGTGTGCCAGATACTTTCCATACATTATCACCTCTAATCCCTCATGACAACCCTGAGGGCAGATCTTGCTATCTCATCTTACAGATGTACTGGCCCAGCCTCTGCAGAGGCTTGGGCCTGGCTTAAGGGGACTTGATGGCCAGGAATTTGAGCAAGGCTTTTCTGGTACAAAAGGCTCTACTCTGCACTGGCATCCCACAAAAGCTCCTTGTGAGAGGGAAGGCCAGAGACTGCATTTCACAGCATGGAGCAAAGTCAGAGCTTGACATGAGAGGTGTGCTGTGGCCGCCGTGTTCCTCCAGACAGGTCTCTGGAGTTTCTCAGTCTGTGGGACCACACAAAAGACAACGTGCTCATTTAATTTTACTTTGAAATTTTAAAAATTGGAGTAGCATTTAGGATAAGTATGTCCCCAATACTTGGTGGGATCTACTAAAACACACATACACACACACACACACACACACACACACACACACACAATTCAAATTTAACTGAACATACTGTATTTTAATTTGTGAGATCTAGCAATCTCTTTTTCTCATTCCCTCCCCCCCATCTCTTTCTCTATTTTCTTCCCCCTACCTTTTATGGTGGTACTAGGGTTTGAACTCCGGGCCTATGTGCTGTCCTTGAGCTTTTTTATTGCTCAAAGCTACTATTTGAGTCACAGCTCCATTTCCATCCTTTTGTTGATTCATTGGAAATAAGAGTCTCATGGACTACACTGGCTAGGCTGGGTTTGAACCTCCATCCTCAAATCTCAACTCCTGAGTAGCTAGGATTACAGGTGTGAGCCACCATTGCTCAACTAACAATGTCATTTTAGCAGAGTCTAAAAGTAGGCCCCAGGAGCAATCCCTCCTCTTCCTCCTCCCAACTCCCAGGTCTGCCTGCCCTGCTCTTTATGCCCAGGCAGGCTGTCTGTTTAGCCTCCCTTCTGCACACCTACATAGGTCCAACGATACTTGGGATTATTCAGTACATGAAATTTTATAATCTGTTTAATGAGGTCAGTGTTTCCTCATGTTAATATAAGTAGCCCTGGTTTTTGTCCTTTCTAGTGAATACCAGTGAGGGACCCATTGTGGTTAGAACATACCATAATTATTTAAGCAGTTATCTTCTGTGGACATTTAGATAAAGAGCATCCTTGTTCCTGCATTTTAAGCCCTCCTCTAATTACCTCCTTAAAATAAATTCTTGGAAGTGCAATTGTTGGGTCAAAGAGTTTACAGATTTTTACATTCTGATATGGAATTCCAAAGTGTCTTCAGAAAGGTTATATGAATTCACACTTTTAGCAACAATGCAAGGACAACCTAGGCCCTTCTCCCCTCCCACTTGCCTACCTTACAGGTTGGGAGAGTTTTAAATCAACTTCATTGATGGAAATAGGTGGAAAATGAAATCTCATTTGTAGTTACAATTTGCATCTCTTTGATTCTAGCAAAGGTGGAGCGCCTGCCACCATTTACTGGCCATTTGTAGATCATTTTGTAAATTGTCTGCCCCAATTTTCTGCCTGCTTTTTTTTTCTATCAGGCTGTTAGTTATTTTTCCTATCATCTCTGTAAATGGGGTTTTGCATATTCAAAGTATTAATGTGATGGGTTTCTGTTTGATGTGCTGAGAGTTTTCATTTTTATTTTACTAATTGTAAGTTTAAA